GTAGTGGTAACTGGGTTAGGCCACGCCACAAGACATTATACAGACAGGCTCTGGTATCATGGCTACCTGACAACAGAGCTCAAAAGTGTGGGATCATTTTAAGAAAATGAAAGAGAAACCTGTGTAATATCTGCAGAGCAGAACTTACCTTCCACAGCAATTATTTTTAGTTAGCATTTCGCTAAAATCTAACGATGGTTATATAATAGCAGCTGCATTCTGACGTGATAAGCTGTAAGTTTTATATTCAATTAACGTATGATCCGATTAGTCGACTAATCAAATAAATAATCGGTGATTAATTGATTTTTAAAATAATCGTTTGCGGCAGCCCTACCCCTAACCCTTACGTAAATTTTGTAAACTTCCATAAGCTGAAGTGAAAGTGTCCACACCTCCTTCCAAAATCTTACCTAAAAGCCCGGCAAGACTATATTCACTACCCCCACCAGCGCCCCCCCCCCGGTTTATCAGACAGGTGCAAACACAATAAAGGTTTATCAGCAGCACATGTCTCTGTACCTGAAGCCTTTGATTCTGATTCATTACAGAGGTTACAGCTGCAGGACTTTAACTTTCRTTAGTAGACATGGTCAAAGCTCAGATTAGCATTTGCTGAGATGTTGTCTCTGCTTTTCAACAGTTKGTTGTTGTATTAATACTATATTAATACTATATTATTACTAATGCTGTGTTATATAGCCCTGCATGAGTACTTTCTTCAGTCTTTCATGCTTCTCATGCGCAGCTCCTTGTAAGAAGCAGCAATTGTTTCAAGATGGTCTTAAGTCAGCTGCGGGGGCTGGTAGTCAGAGTGATTGTCTTGAAGTTAATAAACTTGTAGCACAGGCGGTAAGGAAATCTGTGCCAAGTGTAGTTTCCCCACTTCAAAAAGGTTTGAACTGGTCCTTTAACACATTTAAAAAAAATAAGTTATTTTTCTTTCAACATCAGCATCTGGTGCAAGCTAAAGGGAAGTGTCAGCAAGCTGAATTTGCAAACGGCTGTATACCGTTGGGCGTCACCCCCCCACCCCCCCACAGGGGTTTTCTGGCACGGGCCGAGTCACACCAACTGGAGCTGTGTCCACCATCAGCCTCTTCTTCTTCCTCTTCCTCCTCCTGCTGTCTTCACGAGGCTCACACACAGGTGGAAAGTCTGAGAGGAGAGGACCGACTCGGGTTCTGAAACGTGTCAATTAAACGGCTCAAAGAGCAAATCTATGAGGG